TGCAACACGACATGTTTTTTTTTTTTTTTTTTTTAATCTTGAATTACAAACAAATACAAATTTTTTCGGGCGTGTACTCGTATATTGCGATGCCAATCGAGACAATTGAAATCTCAAGAGCAAGTGGCATTGGCGCTCACAAAAGAACAAAAGAATGAATCTTGCGCGCACAAGTTGATGACGATTAGAGAGATCGAAAGCGAGTAGAGGCAGCTTAAATGGACGAAAAAAAAAAAAGGATATACACGAAACGTAAACCACGTTGGTCAAAATGAGCATAAAAAAAAAAAAAAAATAACCACTTGATACAGTAAAGTCGCAATGACTTTATTCCCAGAGATCAAGCCTGTACCTGCAAGTGCTCCGAGTAAAAATAAAAACTTTTCTTTCGCGCTCCCCATCCCCGATTCGCACGTCCAATCAATACCAAAATTAATGGAAGCTCGTGCACAGACGCGCATTCACACGGAGAATCAACCCAATAACTCATCACTCTGGAAGATTACACGAGTAAACACAGCGGCGAAAGGGTACACACACACACACACACACACACAAACGCGGGTCAAAACGACGACGGGGCCGAAGAGAGAGAGAGAGGGGGGGAGGGGGGGTGGAAAAAATAAATAAAAGGGAAAAAGACGCGGTCCATCGGACGCTGCACCCCCGATTCGGACGGCCGGCTTCCCCTCTCGCGGACACGCGACACCAGTGTGGTCCTCCCTCTCTTTTTCCCTTGTACGTCCATGGTTGTATACATATACAGCGAAAGCTTGCCCGATGTACGGGTTATTAGGTATTGGCCGACTGAGCTTTTAGTAGCTTGTAGCGCGGCCCCTGGGCCACTGCTCTCTCTCTCTCTCTCTCTCGCGCGTTTCTTATTTTCTTGGGCCCTCGAGTTTGTTGGGTGTGCTGTACCATGCCGCGGCTATTTGCTCGCAGCTCCCGCAAGTGCGTCAATTTCGTACGTGTCTCTGTTTAAACGCTGTTCCTTTCCTTTTCATGGTGCTTTGGACGGAGGGTTGGAACAATCGCCCGCACATTGTGGCTGATTTTTGACGAAGCACCAGCCTTGATTTATTTCCTATAATTCCGTGTATTTCCCTACTTGTTTTTATATCTCAGTAATATCATCCAGGGTTCACCTGTACGCTCGAACGTACTGATTTTTTCCGATGGCGTTGTGTTTTCGCGAAACTTTGAGTTAATTACGTTCACGTGCATGTATTTTATTTACAAAATAAATCATACAAACAAATATCCCGCAAAAGTAAACAAAACCCGCGAGCGATGTACGAAGCGGTATTTGTTTCCACGTCAAAATTATACACGCGAGCTCGCAAAACAAGAGCTTTCTCTCTCTTTCTCCGCGCACGTGCAGGGCTGCAGAAAAAGCAAAAAGCGCACCACTACCCGCGTTATAATACATTTGGAGATCATCGTGACTCGCGTATCAAGGAATCGTCCAACGGGGTTGAAAGAACCGAGGATTCACTTCGACCCCTCTTGGGTTTTTTTTTTTTTTTTTTTTTTTTTTTTTTTTTTTTTTTT